GGGGAGGGCGTGGCAGGAAAGCCCCGCCACGGACCGCCCAACTGGCCAACTCCGCCCCCGTCCCCGCGGGAGCCGGGGGCCCGAGCCGGTCTGGGCCGAGGCTTGCCCGCGCCGCGCTGCGGGGGATCATGGCAGCAGAATGAGGAGGCTGGCGCCGGGTCGGGGCCGCCGCCGCGCTGCAGCTTGGGATCCGCGCCCGGGGCGCTCACAGCCGCATCCTTAGCGGGCCTCCTGGTGGCCGCTGGGTTATTTCATTCGAGCCAAGGGCTAGGGAGAAAGGAGAGCCCGCAGCCGGGCCGGACCGCTCTCCGGCGGGGTGTACGGACTGGTGTGGGAGACTCGGCGGCTGCAGAGACGACGCGGCAGAGAACTGATCCCGGGCTGCTGAGGCGCGGACGCGGGGATGAGCCGGCCATGAGGCGGCCTCGGCGGGGCGCAGGGAGCCGGCCAGCGCTGCGGTGGGGGCGCCGCCTGAGCGGGGGCCCCGCGCGTCTTTGGGGCTTTGGACGCCCCGTGGGGGTTCCTGCTGCCGCCTTTGGGAAGGACGGGGGCCCCGCGTGGCAGGCAGCGCAGCAGTCCCGGTTCTGAGGCGCCCGGAGCCTGCTGCGCCTGCAGCTCGGTGCGCCCTCGCAGCCCGGGCGCCTTGCCCAGCGCACGGCGACGGAGCTGGCTGGAGGAGCCGGCGGCAGGACTGGCTCGAGGGGGTGTGCGCGCGTTTGACGGGCGATCCGAGCAGAAGCAGCACCGGGCGGACCTAAGCAGCCATGCTGCCCGGGGTGGGCGTGTTCGGCACCAGCCTCACGGCCCGTGTCATCATCCCGCTGCTGAAGGAAGAGGGCTTCTCGGTGAAGGCGCTGTGGGGTCGCACGCAGGAGGAAGCGGAGGAGCTGGCCAAGGAGATGAGCGTCCCCTTCTACACCTGCCGCATTGACGAGGTGCTCCTGCATCAGGACGTGGATCTGGTGTGCATCAACCTGCCGCCGCCCCTCACTAGGCAGATCGCTGTCAAAACCCTGGGTGAGCGACCCCCGCCTCTGCCTCCCCCTAGCCTTCTCCCTCTTCCGTCTTTCTTCTCATTCCATTCTAGAAGCTTATCTGGCATCTACCCTCCCAGATCCCACTCGGAGCTCCCTCCTTTCGTCATCCCTGGCCTTCGCCACCCCTGCGGTTCCCTCCGCCCTCCTGGCACCACCTGGCCGCACTTCCCCCACGTGTGTGGCGAGGCTGGAGGAGGCGGCGTGTGACCCCGGGATGGGGATGAGGGAAGTCCGCGCCAGGTTCAGAACGAGGCGGATCAGATGCTAAGGACGGGGGTGGGCTGCTCTGCGGGGAAAGGAAACCAAGTCCCCAGCGGTGTGTGTAGTGCCCGAGTGTGTGCGTGCGTGCGCGCCTGTGAGGGGCGAGTGCGCGCCCAGGAACGCTGAAGAAAGGGCGCCGCACGTGTCTCGGTTTTCCTGGGGGCGGTGGAGTACCTGCTGTTTAGCAGCTGTGGCACCCTGCTAGGCTCGTTGTTTTCTTTCTGCTGTGAGTTTATTTAGTGTGAGGTTAGAGACGCGACAGTAGGCTAGAATTATAGTATCTGAGCTGGAGGGCAGGATGGCGGGAGTGGTTGGATGTTTTCAGAGGGATTGTCGGTTAGCAAAGGCTGGTTTGGTAAAAACCAGAGGAATTTAAGTTTGCGTGCAGCAGCTCTAGAATTGTCTCCAACACCGATATGGAGTAATAGGTCTTAAACGCAGAGAGGGTGGGCGCAGTAATTCCAAAGGCAGGGATGCACTGTGTTGGAAAAGGCCAAACGTTGCCAGTTGCATTTGGAAGTCTACGATGTTCCTTCCTTAATTCCCTTCAGGAATAGTTCTGAGGCATGCTGTTGACAGGCGAGTTGGGAATGAGCTCACCGCCCCTTACCATCCGCTCCCCCCCGCGCCCCCCACCCAAGTGTGAACAATCTGAGAGCAGAGTGTCGGCGTCTCTGCCATGCGCAGAGGAACTAGAAGTGTATGTTTTAGCCATCAGCAGTTCTCACACATACCTAAGACAGTCTCAGGAAGGTTACTCACTCTTGTCTGTTCTGAGAAAATGTATCCCTGCCCTTGAAAGTTGGAGTTTTTATTACGGAGGAAAGAGACAAAGCTTAGGGCACAGAATTACACATTACAGCAGTTAGAAGGGAAGAATGGGAAGGGTCGGGACAGAACCAAGAAACCAGTGGCAATTTATGTAATCTTGGAAAGAATGTTCTGACAGCTGTGATTCAGGGTGGATGAAATGTACACGTCCACATCTATGAACAGAATGGAGAATTCTTTGTCCACAGAAAAACCATTTTTACAAGGCCATTCGGTCATTGGCTCAGATGGGACATCTGATAACAATTCCTAATGGAGCTCCCCAAGGCTGTGGGCTTTAACTTTAATTTTATTAGGCTCCTGGCCTTTACAGCCTGGTCTTTTGGCCTTAAATGGAGAGTCATTGGGCTCTGGCCAATATTTCTTTTCTGTTTGTCTAACATACATGTTGGGTAGCTAACTTCAGTGCTTACACTGGTTCTGCGCACGTCAGAGAGGTTGTGGCCATCCTCTAGTGTAACTCTATTGGGACAATTTGTATAAAACAGGTCTGTCTTGAGCACTGTTTGTACTAGAGGGCGTATGACTGATCAGCTCAGAAAAATCTTGTTGTAATATCGTTTCTCCACCCTTTGTCAGCACAGTCCAACAGGTGAGACCCACCAATCCACTTTTGTCAATGCTAGATATTTCACATAAGTGGACCCGTGCAACCCTAACAGCATGTCTCCAGGACACTGGCAATTTGGGAACAAGGGTTATTCTGTCTTCTGACCATCTCTGATACTTTAGCCATCGAGGTATCTGGGGGCTCTGGCTTCAAGAGAGACAGCATAATTATATACATTTCTGGGTACTTCTGGTTGTAATTTTTAAAAATCTTTGACTTTTTCCATTGACGAGACTAATGTGAGTTAGCTCTTCAAAACCAAGCATAGGATGCATAAGAAATAGACTTAGTTTAATAACCATGACTAAAGAATAGGGTTTTCTTTTTTTTTTTCTTCCTCATTGTTTCGTGGTAGGTCTTGGGCAGTTTTAAAACTCCTGCTTTTGCAGGTAATTTTAGCTAATCTGTGATTATAGAAAGCATGGTGGCATTGGATTTAGATTTGGCTGGACTTTAGTCATGTTCTAGATTCTACTTTCATCATCACTGGAAAATTCCCCAAGAGTCTCTTCTTCACGTTGCGCCCTGCGGTACACAGTGGGGGTTGTTGCTTCGCTTTACTCTGTAGTCGTGGTTCGAAGTTCCATGCACAAATGCAGAAAGTGAAACCCCAAACAGTTATCAGGCTGGTCTGACCACTGGGGGTTTATATATACTAGTGTTTGCTTGGGATTGAAATGGGCCAATTTTGTACTAGTTCCAGTGAATTCTCCTTCCTATAGCAAGGACCTGGCTTTGAGTTACTTTTCCAGCAATGGCAATAGACCTGTGGCCTTCAATCCGTACTGGTAACTGGTCATAGGCATGTCCGGGGAGGAGGGTGGCCTAGAGACCATTGAGTAATGAACTTGGAATCAACTGAATCAGGCATACCTTCCTGTAATTTTTAAAAATTTCCTTCAAGTCCCCGGTGAACTAAGCATTTCTCTGTTGTAGAGACATGTCTCCGATGTACAATTTCTACAGTGTCTTATTAAGTGCCTACTACGTGCTGTGGGTCCCTGATGGTGCAAACAGTTAAGCCACTTGCTGTGGTTTGAGTCCATCCACAGGCACCTTGGAAGAAAGGCCTGGTGATCTACTTCCAAAAAATCAGCCGCTGAAAACCCTGTGGAGCACAGTTCTGCTCTGACACACGTGGGGTCACCAAGATCAGAGTCGACTCAACGGCAACTGGTTTTTGGTGTGTGCCAGGCAATGTGGTAGTCGTGGTTTATCAAGTGTTCGCTTTCATTATTCAAATAATTTAAAATATTAAAACGATGACATTTTCTAAGATAGATATTATTATCTCCGTTTTACAAATGAGACAAGTAAGACTCAGAGACCTGAAGTGAATTGATCGGGATCACACAGCTAGAGATTTACTCCAACATTCTGCCTCCCCCAAAACCCTTTCTTCCTTTGCCCTCCCCTACCTCTGCTCCATTACAGCACCTCCTTCTCTCAGATACTAGTAGGGCACGTGAGAGTCTTGGAGTCATCCCTTCTCCTTTTCACCCCATCCGTGAAATCACTTCCCACATCTGGTTGATGCCACCTCTAAATTCCTGGTGTATCTGTTCCCTCTTCTGCAGCCACACTACCCCCTCAGCAGTCCAGGCACCCCCCCTGACCTCCGAGGGACTGAGGTAGTCAGGTTCCCAACGACTCCTCCCCATTCCACCTCCACCCGCCTTCTGTAAGGCTACCGGTTGGCCTTGGTGAACTGCAGACCTGGTCACACCACCCCTCTGCATTTCGAGGGCTCACCCTCACCCACAGAAAAGCCCCAACTTCTTCCAGGCATGACTAGCAAGACCTGGCCCCAGACAAGCCTGACCAGCCTCATTTCCTTCCACCATTCCTGAGCACCCTGAGCTTCTGCTACATCAAAACACTGGTCCTTCCTTGAATGGAGTGTGTTCTCATATTTCCACGCCTCTGTCAGGAGCGCCCTACCTCCTCGTATCTGTGGTTGATGCCCACGCATCCTTCAAGACTCAGCTCAATGCTGTCTCCCCCTGGAATTCTGCGCTTTTCTCAATCCCACCCCCTTACACACCCTCTGTGTTCTCAGTACCGTGTTCTCCCATCTTTTCTAGCACCTAATTTAATGCATTTTTTAAAAAAACTTAAATTTTCTTTATTTTGAAGTAAGTTAAATATTCACATGGTATAAACCTCAAACGTTATAAAAGCGCACAGTGAAGAGTAAATGTCTCCCAATCGCTGGCCTCCAGCCACCCAATCACCCTGTGCCGGAGGCAATTGCTGTTAGTTTTTATGTCTGCTTCCAGAGATTTTTCTAGGTGTCTACTGGCAAACTCGTGTGTGGATATCTTGAAAACCTTTTTTACCCAATGGGTAGCATACCATACACACTGTTACATACCTTGCTTTTGTTCTGCAAAAATATTATCTTGAAAAAATATGTATACATATATATATATCACATACATCATATGTATATTGATATATGTATGTATAGATATATCAGAATATAAAATATCCTTTTTTTGGCTGCATAGTATTTTATTGTATGGATGAATCAAAATACATTTAACCAGCTCCCTATTAATCAACATTTAGGTTGCTTCCAATCTTTTGCTTACACAAACATGTAAAGAATAATTTTGGACATATGGTATATTGTACACATGCCAGTCTGTTTGGAGGAAAAATACGTGACTTGCTAGTCAGAAGGTACATGCACGTCTTATCTAACAAAGGTATTGCCAAATTAACTGCCTCCGGAGAGGACACTGCATTTCGTCTGTTTCCTGTGTTCCTCCCTCTGGCCCCTTGATGCCAGGTGCCTGAAGGCTGGCAAAGATGGTCAGGGTCACCTTGTATCCAGAGAGCACTGGGCACAGGCCCAGCACAACACCCCAGCCAGCCTTTGGGGTCAATGAAAACATGTCTCCAGTGTATCCACCTCCTTCCACCTCCTCTGCCGCCACCGTATGCCACGCCATCCACTCTCACCTAGGCCAATGCAGTGGCGTCCTTATGCTGCGTCTTGTTTCTCAGCCCGTCTATTCTCTATGCAACAGGCAAAGTGATTTAAAAAAAGATTCTTTTATTTTGGTGAAATATGTATAACATAACATTTTCCATTTGAACCATGGTTAAGCGCACAGTTAAGTGGCAGTAGTTACAGTCTCAGTGTTTTGCAACCATCACCGCTATCTATTTCCGAAACGTTTTCATCACCCCAAACAGCAGCTCAGAACCGTTAAGCAATAACCCCCCCATCCACCCCTCCCAGTAACCACGAATCGACTTTTGTCTGTATG